ATGAGGGTGAGTAGTTGATGGCATTTTGTTTTTTTTTTCACTTGGGTGAACTAACCCTTTAAGAGTATGTGAATAAATTATATATTTTAAAATGCTGTATTTGTATGCTTTTCAGGGTTCAGAGGAAGTGAAAAGGTATGCTTGCCCTCCTTTACCTCCCTATGTAGATGAACTCGAGTTGTTGGGTTTGGATGAAGAGATGGATGAGACTGAATCCAAAAAGCCACTCTATGACATCTGCTTCCACCTACTTAAACTTTACAGTGACAGGTTCGTAATCACGTCCTCTTTGATTCCTGTTTTTTCTTTGATGGTGATGTCCATAGTCTGTCTATGTATGCAGGCTGATTTTGCTCTTATACTATTTTCCCTCTCATAAGGCATTACAGCCTACAACAGCTACTTGATCCCAGCACAGTAACTGCTGATCATCTGGATTACCGGCTGTGCTGGCACCTGTGGAACGTGTTGCAGGCTCTTAACTACAATCACCTGTCCACCTCATGCCAGGGCTTGCTGCACACCAGCTATGCTGCCCAGCTGGAGAGTGCGGGATTTTGGGAGATGGCTATCTTCGTGCTGCTGCACATACCTGACTCTGGGTAAACGACAGCTCTATTGTGTACTCATTTAGTTTGTGATAGTTTTTATATTAGGATGAGTTGAGTGACTGTACGTGATAGTGTTGTCAAATGTACCGACTTCGGTACCAAGTTGGTACTGAATTTTTAAAAATGTGACTGTACCAGCATTTCGCTCTAGCATTTTGAGCACTGTTGAACAGATTCTTAAACGCCTCTCATTGGCCATTGTTAATTCGCTCAACATGCATGTCTCTGATTGGCCATTGTGTTCACTTGCTCAACATCTGCCTGATTGGCTACAATGATCAATGCTTCAAAAACATGTTGTACATCTTCGCCAAGCGCTTACACAGATATACACATGAGCGTTTAAAAAACAGGTGTCTATCAGCGGATCCCTAATATAACAGCTGATAGACTGATCCACTGATAGATCCGCCTGCTTTTAAACGCCCCTGTGTGTATCTAAGCGCTTGGTGAAGACCGTCAAAGACATCAATTTACAACATGTTTTTGTAGCGTTGATCATTGTAGCCAATCACAGACATATATGTTGAGCGTGTGAACACAACGCCCAATCAGAGGTGTTTAAGAATCCGTTCAAGAGCGCTTAGTTTTTTAAATTTCAGTACCGATTTGGTACCAAAGTCGGTACTTTTGACAATACTAGTAGTACATGAGATGATTCCTATTTTATGTTATTGTGTGCAGACGTAGAGAGAGTGCAGTGCGGGAGATGCTCAACTTACACTGCCCCCTTGAGGAGACAGAAGAGTCAATGGAGAAGGAGCAATTTCTTACGGAAAAGTTGCTGATCCCCATCCAGTGGATCCATCAGGCCAAGGCCATCCGTGCCTGCAGAGAGGGAGATAAACATCGTGAAGCCTTGCACCTTTACAAGGCCGGCCACTGGAATCACTGCCATCGGCTGGTCATCCAGCACCTGGCCTCAGGTTAGAATAAGCCAAAAACACACACAAACTATTAATGCCTCAAATACGTTTTGTGTGTGCGACAATATGAACAACGCTTATTCATTTTGGCTGCCATTTCTACCTAGTATTCACACTGGCCCTTTACAGTGCAACTTGCTTGTACAGTCAGTCACACTACACTTTTCGTCCCATTGACTTCTATTCATATACATTGCAAACGCAGGATACGGGAAACGGGCGCATTAAATAATCGGGTTTGGTTAACTCCTCTGTGAATTTGCATCACGTGAAGACGTGTGACCGCTTAAAGATGAATCCGTGATGACATGACCTCAGAAACTTTGAAGCTACAGGTTTGTAGCGTTGCAGAAAAGTAGATTTTTTTTTTTTTAACATATTGGATTTGTTGAATTTATGTTTCTAAAAAAGATGCCGCAGAGTGTAACGTCACATGACTGTTGCAGTCTCTGAAAAAAGCTGCATGTTCAAAGTCTCGTGTGACCATCTCATAAGAAGCTTTGTCGCTGAGCCTTTTTTTCCCCTTTCACACACTGAAGAGACAAAAAACTGAAAACTTTCAACCTTTTCATCAACTCAATCTTTTGAAATATAGGTTTTAATGCGGTGCTCGAAGTGGGCACCTTATCGCACTTATCACATGTCGCCGGTACTCTGACTATCCCAAGCCCTGAATACGATTTCATCCGAGGTTTACTCCCACCAGAACGCGATTCCAAGGCAGCAGCGGGAGTCCCGGCACTTTTTATTTCCCCCCACTTTGAGCATTCCTTTAAAGAAATAAAGTAAAATAAAGGAAGGAACCCATAATTTGAGTAAGTCTGAAACTGGATGATTTAAGCAGTTTCTAGCTAAATATATGGTTTGGTTTGTTTAGTTTAAAATGCCATTTGGATGTAAATTTGGTCCCCAGCTCATGAAAAGTTAGACTCATTAGACTATAGATTTTTTTGGAATTCATGGCCGAACTGCTCAGTGTAACTCCGTTAACATATTTGCTGTATAGAGCTTTCTGTAAAAGTCAAATACATGCCTGCCCTTAAAACCGACCTAATGCTATCTTCCCGTCTTTTTTTCCTTAGACTGCATAATTAATGATAATCATAAGTACCTGTTGGAATTCCTGGAGGGGTTGGCAGTGCCAGAGCGCAGTGTTCAGATTCAGAGCTGGGACACATCTGGACGGGTCTACCTTGATTACATCCATGTCATCCAGACACTGCAGGACATCCAACAGGTAACCTGCTGCTGCTTCAGGAAAGTATGTTGCTTCAGTAGAATAAAAGTTTAACGTGATGATCTATCTATAGGCTGAAAGCCCAGGTTATGCGCTGGAGCGACTGGATACAGAGGTGATGTCTCTCTGTGGGAGAATAGAGCTCCTCCCCTGCTCCAAAGCTAAAGACAGACTTGCCCAATCAGGTCTGAAATTCTTTTACTCTGTTTTGTCGGAAATTTATACTGAAATAATGTTGCTGAAAAGCTAGTTTATAGTTTTCTTTGTTAATTTATGGGACCGGCTAGAAAACCAGCTTAAAACCTTATTGGATTGATTAACAATATGAATCCTCACAATTACTGTAGAATTGTAACCTTGGTTTTCTCTTGCCTTATAGAGATGGCCAAACGTGTGGCTAACATCCTCCGAGTGGTTTTGAGTCTCCAGCAGGGTGGTGAAGGCACCCCGGATCCCCGACACATCCCTCTTTGCCAGCTTGCTCCACACATTGGACGTCTACCCATGCCAGAGGACTATGCTTTAGAGGAACTCCGCAGCCTTACTCAGTCGTACCTGCAAGAGTATGTTATCAGTCACTGAATATCAAGATATAGGTTTCTCGATCAGTTATGCAGAAGTAACATGAGTCTTGAGTGGAATTACCTTCAGCACTCCAATTATATGGCTGTTTCAGGCCGTGGTTGAACTTTTGATGCATATTTAGGCACAATACTTGTGAATAAAGCATTCCTTTGTGTGTTTGTGTAGGAGGTTTTTTTTTTTTTTTCAAATCCTGTTTTGTAGTCATAGACATGATGTGTGAGTGTCTTTTATAATTAAAGTATCTATTTGAATACATCTGTTGACTTAATCTGCCTAAGATACTCAGAGGGAAAATGCCAGATAGGAGAACTCTACATTTGTCTATTCAGTTAGGCTACATTGTGAAGTATCATCTGGTCCATTCAAAGCTATAATATTGTGTTGTGTTTAGGGCCTACCTTAAACAATTCATAAAGACATTTAAAAAAAGGAGTGTTTTCTTTTGACTGTTCTTTTCAGTCATAGTGTTTTTAAATCTTAGTGTGACCATGTGTTGTAACCTTTTGTAAGTACAGTATTTTTATTGTTCCTATGGACTGCCTTAGTCTATAAGTTGCAAGCGTGCTTTGTGTAAATGATAAGGTTACTCAGCCTGTAATGAGGTGGGGTTTTTTTTGAAGAGATTAAGCATTTATTTAAAACGAATCTCTCACAACAAAAATATATGGCAACAATAAACATGTAAAAGTGTGGGCATATCTATTTTTGTAGGGTTTTCAACACGTTGATCTGGAAAACCTTATTGTTAAAGGTTTACCTAATGTAAAACTAAATAAATTCAATTCTATTGATCAAAGAACGTTCATAGAAATATATTTTGTGGTTCTTATGTGTTCAACAATATGTGACTGGTGATTCTTATAAAACTTTAATCAAAGTCAACCTGACATCTCTTCTGACTAGGATAGAGTTTCGCTGATGTAATTACATTACAGCATTATGTGAACCCTTCATCCCCTGTTTTTTGTTGTTGTTGTGTGCAACAAATGCCCCAGTCTCTAGCAATGTGCTCGTTTCATGTAAGGTTTATTTTCTAAAAACACTGTAAACATTAAACTTGGTTTATGACAGATTATGCTTCAGATAATTAAGGTTCTGCTCTTTGAATGGGTGCGTGTTTGCGGCTGTCTGAGTATTGCTGTGCATGAATGTGCTTTTATTTTATTTTATATAGAACTACGAATAAAATACTTTGAATTTCTAATGAACATTTTTCTGTGTAGTTTTTATGTATAGTGGGGTAAAAAAAAGCCTGAGCGCTATGTAAAAAATTCATACAAATTAATATCAGCATAATAGTCTTTAAGTGAAAAATTAATTGCAGAATTTCTAAATATTTGATAGGTCCTACCTTTAACGGCAGAAATACGACCTGAAGATAGAGAGATAGATAGATACTTCAAAAGTGGTCTTAGTTTCCTCTCAGTTCTCTTGTCTCCACTCTCCAGTCCCACGCATACTACAAGTACCACAACGCTCCCACAACTACCACAAGGCATATTTTCAGACACTCGAGTCGACTACCAGTACGTCGCCAGTATCTAGGCTAGTAGTGAAACTCGTCATCGCTTAACTAGCACGCGACACTTCTCTAGCCCCTCGAGTTGCGCATATCTTGCGCTGTCTGCTTGGTCTCAATACGGTACTGAACTATGGGAATGTCTGAGAAATGCTGCATCTGCCTTCACGAGACCACAGAAGAGTTTGTATTCCTCATTCACGCCACAAAATGAATCCACGTGTTATTTGGGCTTCTTTCCATTTGATTGCCACCATTGGTTTTATTCCAGGTAAGGGTGCGCTCTTTTTATGAACGTTTATTCAGGCTTCCAATTAGGTATTTTTTTGTTTTGTTTTCATATGTCGGCTATATTTGAGTTTAAACAAGATCATAATTACTTATTGATATGACATTAGTCTATGAGTCAGTGACGTGACGCCTACATTTTCTGTCCAATATTGAACTTGCATTTTTATCAGCTAAAAAAGGGTTTAAATCCATAAAAATATACCATTGTAACTTACCTCTCCCATGTTTGTATTCACTTTAACTTTTTAAAAAGCATTAGTTATTTGTAGTTTCTGTTATTTAAAGTGTCAAAATATCATGTGGTGCAAGCAGGTTTGTAACTCTCTCTCTCTCTCAAATAAACAAAAACAAAAACCTTTTTTAAGTAGAACCACATTTTGGATATCAGGCTATGACCTAAAACAACAACAACAACAATGAATATTAAGTTATTTCTACATATATTTGTACTTTTTGTGGGATGATAGCTTGTTTTGTTTAGGTGGCCAATTCTGTGCCTGTAAATTTTGACTGAATTTGAAAATATATCATGGGGTGCAACACTGCAGTGTTTTCCATGAATGATATATGTCCTAGATTGGCAGGTTTTGTGCTTTTATATTCAATTGATGGTTCATATACATAAAGTACTTTATTTTAGTATAATTTCTTATGCCATTTGCATTAAAAAATGCATTACAAATATATATTTCAGACGATTTATGTTCAATCTTTGTACAATATGAGAAAAATTCAAAATAAATAATTTAGAGCACGTAATTTCAGTTTGGATATTGTGCATTTATTAGTACCTTATAAATAAATAAATAGATAAATAATCTATTTAATCAGATTTTTACCAGATTCTACCAAGCAAAGTAAAAACCACTGGCCTTAGGCAGTGTTAATTCTGACCTTGCAGCAAGAGCGGAGTTACACCTTTCTAGGAGAAGGGTGAAATATGATTACAATTTAAAATAACTGTTTTCTGTGGGAATATATAGTAAACTGAAATGTATTCCTGTGGTCAAAGCTGAATTGTCAGCATCATTACTCCAGATGCTGATTTGCTGCTCAAGAAAAAAAACTGATTATTATCAGTTCATATTTTTGTGGAAACTGTGATGCATTTTATTTGTCAGGATTCTTTTATGAATCGAAAGTTCAAAAGAACAGCATTTATTTGAAATAGAATCTTTTGTAACATTAAATGTCTTTACTGTCACTTTTGATCAATTGAATGTGTCCTTGATCAATAAAAGTATTAATTACTTAAAAAAACATACATTTTACCTGTATCCCATACCTGTATTTATATAAAAAATATATATTATTTTTTAGAAAAAAATTCTGTCAAGTTAAATGGAATGTTGCACTTATGTTTGCACGATGTGATTTATATATATATATATATATATATATATATATATATATATATATATATATATACAAATTATGAAAATTAATTTTTTGAAAATTCGGTGAAATTTTAATAAAATCTGGTTTAAATCTTTTTTTTTGTATGAAATGTATTGTTTATTGATCTATTTAAATAGAATTTTAACGATAAGTCTCGTGTCATTTGGAGCGACCACTCATCATGTGGTATAACCAATAATATCAAAAACTATTAAATTAAAAATAAAATCTAATTTCTGTGGCTGAAATATGAATCACTAATACAGTATTAAGTGAACAAAAACAATGCAAATACTTTGTTTCTAAACACTTTAATTACTGAGAACTTGTAAAAAACATATTAAGCATGTTAAGGAAATGAATTGACACTTTTTTGAGGCTACGGCCAATTCATCTAAATGAAAAAAACCCCCACTAAAATCACCTAATTTAAAATTTTAATATGAATTTATGTGTACACAACATTCTTAAAGTATGAACAATTGCAATAGATAGTATTTTTTGTATTTTAAAATTGGCCTGTTGAAAATCTTTATACGTCATTGACCCCTATATAAACTAAGTGTTTCTGTGTATTATATGTAACTTTTTTTTATTATTATTATTGCAACTTTTGGTCCCAGAGTTTATATTTAATTTGCTGTTGAGATTTTTTTTATGTTTTTGTCAGTCTGTTTTTTTTGGTAGATTTAGTCACATAAATGTGAATTCTTAAATAATACACTTATTCAAATAAATAGAAACTCCATGTGATAAAGACTGAAGATGCTGTATTAAGATCTTGCATTTACAGCAAATTTCCACATTGTTCTCCTAAATACTCTGCATAGCATCAATTTACACACACACACACACACATATATCCCTCCAAGAGATTCTAAGATGGACATGTGCACGCTACTCTGGAACATCTGTGTATTCAACCCTAACAACAACAGTGAACAGATGACAGCACTGATCTATAACTTAATGTACTATATTCTAATCAAACTGATCTGACATGTTCTTCAAGGTTGGCACACTGATTAATAATTAGTGTTTATAATTCCATAGAGGCATGTAAAGACCAGCAGTCCCGGTATTACCCGGAGTTTCTATTTAATTCCCTTTGGAGGTGCTTTTTTTCAATTGTTATTAATTATGCAAAAATGGAACTCCTGTGATTAGTTCCTGTATGTTTTGGTGACTGGAGGATTTGTAATTTACATATTGGACATTCAACAATTGCGCTCATTCTAAGGTCCACACACATCCTGGAAACTTTAATAACTTGTAATGTCGCATGTATTATTTAAATGTACTGTCTTAAAAGTTTATGTGGCAGTTGCCCAAATAGGAACCCAATATATGGACCACAGAGTCCTTGAAGCATTTTTGCATTTGGTCTAAAGAAGCAACTTTGACACCAGTGTTTTTGGTCACAAGAATTTGATACTTTCTGAGCACTTGCTGCTCAATTCATGCTGCAGGACAGCAGCGCTGCCAGCTGGATCTCACACATCCTTTTCACACCACAGCCTCCATTTTTAACTTTCATTAGAGCGCTATTTTGTCTGGCACTTGAAGTGAATTGATTCGCCAGTGAAAGCGCTGACCACACTCATCCTCAGAGAACAGGAGGGGGTAACTGAGTAATCGTGCTCGTTCACTAGAGTTCCCCTGCAGCACGCAGTGTGGCCGTAGTTCAGCCAAATATATGGACTGCAGTTTGAAGGGTTGTTGTAGCTCTCCTGTTACTGGCGCTTTTTGATAAAGCGTCCTGAGCTGGGAGCCAGACAAATCTAAGTGTCAGCAAGAATCAAGGGTATTTGGGAAATCAGTACAGGGAATATTTTCATTTTCTTTGACATTAAACCTAATTAAGCTAGTAAAATAGTTTGTGGTGTGGTGGTAATAGTCCAGAATTAAGAGGGCACCATTACTGACCATAGAATGAAAATGGGTCTGATGGGCTTATTGCTATAAATAAGCTTAAGTGCCTCAAGTGCTCAGATTATTCTTTATCAGCCCTAGACACTCACCAAACTATTCCATCCCAAACCACCAAACTCATTAAGGATGTGAGGATAGCTGTTTTACTCAATATACTCAAGGAACCACCTGTCATGATTCTGCCATCATGTTATTGATTATTCCTGGTCTTGTGGCAGGATCATGACAGAACCAATGTTTTGTGTACAAGCGCATGGCCAATTGTCATGGCCATGTGCTTGTGTTGTCTCGTCTCTTAACCCCGCCCCCTTGTTATCCTGATTCAGTCTTTATTGCTTCACCCATGTCACCTGTTATGTCTTGATTAGTCTCCTTATTTAATCCCCTTGTGTTTGCTGTCTTGTGTCGGTTCATTGCCAAATGTTACTTGTGAGTACCCTGTGAAAGTCTTGTCTTTGATAGTCATTGAAAGTCTAGTCTTTGTTAGTTTCTCTTGAAGTGTTTGTTTTCTAGTGTTTTGTCAGTGTCGTTGTCTAGTAAGTCACCGTAGTCCTGTCTTGTTTTGCCCCCTCGTGGGCTTTGTTTTCCAGGTTATTTGTTTAATAAATCGTGTTGCCTTGACTACTGTCTGCTATTGGGTTCATCCTTCCTCACCCTCATAACACCACCATTTGACTTTGTGTCTTAATTGATTAATCAATCTAAATAAAACAAATCGGCCAAATCTAAATCACTTTCCTCTTCCTTTTCGGCAGTGTGTTTGTGTGCCCAGGGGAAATATGCATTCAAGCTGCTGAATGATTTATTCGTGAATTACACCAGTGCATTGAGGCCTGTGGAGGACACGGACAACATCATTAACGTCACCTTGCAGATCACTCTCTCCCAGATCATTGATATGGTAATGCCTCTCGGTCAATCACACATTCGTTCTCATTCTCTCTCTGTCTTTTTGATGTCTCATTTCCCTGCTTTGCTCTTTACCTTTGAATTGTGCTGTCTGAGCAAATACGTCAACTGTTTCTTTTACTACAGGTGAATAGAGTAAAACTAGTTAACTAAATATCATACTGTATATTCCCCAGTTAATTAATACAGTAAGGCATTTATTATTTCAACAGAAATCCGAACACTAGATGAAGCCAGGTTCAGAATTAGGTTTTCATTTTCATGTATTTGAGTTTAAAGTTTTTACAAAGGGAATTTTGGAAATCTCTTTTTATCACTCCATAAATTAGAAAATCCTGTAAACAGTCAGGGGGGAAAAAGCATTTTCACCATGTTTTTATGAATAATGTTATATAAACCAAACAATGATATGTGATCAACCCCCTCTGTAAAAAACTTCAGAACATAGATTATAGATTTCTGGCTCAGGGTAATTCCAGCGTAATGACAGGTGAAACGTTGATGACGTTCCTCATAATGACAGGTGAAATGTCTCAGAAAAAAAAAACTTCTTACAATATTTAAATTGGAAATGCATATTCTCAGAGCACCCAATCTGGGGAATTGACAGGCAAAATATGTTTTTCTAGAATATATTTAAGCACCCCCAAAAAAGGAAAATATGCATGCGTTATGGATGTGACGGGAAATGACAGAGTTTTTGGTATACTGTTCGATTTCCTTTAAACTCTGTGAACTTTTAAATCCAATGTATAAATATTGCTATCCACATGATGAAGGGGTCTTAGCTGAACATAAAAATATCAATGTTTAAAATATATATATTTTTATGAAGTGTATTATGAGGAAAAACCAACGTTATGGATGTGACAAAAACCCTGTTATGGATGTGACACATCTGAAATACATAGAATCTGTTTGGAAAATCAACAATCAAACCATCATGGCACTTTTGTTGACGCATAATGGCTGTGTTTTCACATTAAGAAGACTGTCTGAAATGATTCTGTTCAGTTATGAGACGCGCTCACGTGTTGCAAGTGATCGCACCTCCATGCTATATTTGCTTATTTATTAAATCCAGGCAATTGGTTGATGAAACTTTGATTTAAAATTAAGATCCAATTTATACAAAACGAAATTCACTTTAAATAAAGTCTTTCTACAAAACAAAACTTGAAATGAAGTGGCCAAAATCATTTCTTTCTTGAAACAGATCACAATAGTCATATGCATGATTTAATATGAAGCGTCCGTAACGGTCACGTCCGTAACGCATTATTATGGTTGTTCAGAGCAAAGTAGTGAGATGAATTGTCTATCCTAATAAGCATAAACATAATTTAGCTTTGTAAATAAATCAAGTTATTTGCATTTATAATTGTCATATTAAATAAACTAAACCTTTAAAACGTTATGGACGTGACAGTGCACTGAAGCGTCAAGACCTCTTTATTATAGCCCTTATAAATTCAACAGGCAGGGCTGTTATGACCAAATTAGTATATTTATTTCTCAGGCATGCCTCCATCTTTCTGCAAAATGCTTACTGTCAAAATAAAGTTTAAAAAGGTGGGACTTTGATACCTTTTTTTGAAAGCATGAAATATGGCTGGTTGAAAATGTAATTTAAGCATTGTTGCTCACCTCATATCTGGTGGATAAACAAGGCAATTTTCTTTAAATTTTTGTTAAAGCACATTAATACAGTATATTACAGACCTAAATGGACAACTTAAAAAGGGTTTTGTTCTTTTGGTTAACTTTATTTTTTCATGGTAAAGATGACCTTTGCATGGAATTGCCCCTCAGTACATTGAGAGAGAGAAAATGGTTTAGCTTGTTGTGTCTCGCATTAAATATATTAAAACAAATGTGCTAAGAAATGTAATATTTGTATTCATGTTTGTATCATACGGTTTTGAATATTTAAAAAAGAAATTCAAATTTTTTTTTATTTAATGATTTTAAAATGTCAGCTTTTACAACCAAATCAAATGTAATAAAATATTAAAATGTTCCTTAAAAACACACAATGTGCACATTTAATCATTATTTAAGAAAAAAGAGGAAAAAAAGCTGCCCTTGACACAATATGTGCCTACAGGGGTCCTCTCGGTCACATCTTTTTCTTTTTTCATTTTACAACAAAACTGTTTATCTGTTTAAGGATAATAATTAAAGATTATTCAAAACTTTTTTATTTTATACAATCTCTGGACAGTTATACCACATAGACATTTTTAACTTTATGCCCCATAAAATAATAAAATGCCTTGTAATTCATAAACTGAAAGCATGGTCATCATTCATACAACTATTATCTGTATAAAAGTGTTTTTCAATCAATTTCTGACAAAAATAATGTCACATAATTTTAGCTATTTTTAACTGATATTGATATTTATTTTGCTGACTGGATTATATTTGTTAATATTATTATATAATATTAATGTATTTGTTAAATTGTGAAATCCGTCTTTATTTTCTAGGATGAAAGAAACCAGATCCTCACAACATACTTGTGGATACGTCAGGTGTGGTTTGATGCCTACCTCACCTGGAATAAGACAGACTACGATGGGCTTGATACCATCCGTATACCTAGTAGTTATGTATGGAGACCCGATATTGTCCTATATAACAAGTAGGTCGGATTGGTATTGGGTTTCATCGATTCAGCCACAAATTGTATGTCATGTCCTGTCATCACTTTGTTGTTGCAAAGGCTGTACATTCTTATGAACTGCTTGTTCATGGGAGCGTACAGTAAGTTTTCTGTCTCCTCTTCTCATAACAAACTGCACTACAGGGTTATCAGTCTTAACTCATTATTTTTCATACACACACACACACACACACACACACACACACACACACACACACACACACACACACACACACACACACACACACACACACACACATACTATACATATATGTGTGTGTGTGTGTGTGTTTATTTGTCTGCTCGGCAAAAAGTAATTTCCTAAATCAGCATTTTTGTCTTGTGAAAATATTTAAATGTACATAAATAAGATCAGTATAACTGATTATTATGTTTGCAACTCCACATCTTCATTTTTTTTATCCAATTGACCAATATATATACTGTGTGTGTGTGTGCTTGTTTTAGGCATACATTAACAAAATTTACAGATGTTAAAAAAAAAGAATGAAAAAGAATAAAATTTCCAATGGGGTAAGAAAAGCTAATTCTCATTATATAATATGTTTATATTTATCTTGTTTAAAGGATGTTTAGATATTTTTTTATATTTTCTGAAAAACAAGACAAAGAGACAGTTAAGAAAAAGATTTGTTTGCAGTGTTAGACTAGTCACCAGTAAGAAGGAACTTCAAATATGATTCATGCATTCATTTTTGGTTTTCATTAGGGTTATGAAAAGTAGAAAAGTGCTGAATATGACAATGATTTTATTGATTTCCACCTTCTGCCTTCCAGTGCAGATGACCAGTTCTCCAGCTCTATGGAGACCAATGTGGTGATCCGCCATGATGGCCAGATTATGTGGGACCAGCCGGCAATATCCAAGAGCTCTTGCAAAGTAGATGTGTCTTTTTTCCCTTTTGATGCCCAGCAGTGCCGCCTCACCTTTGGCTCTTGGACCCACAACGGCAACCAGATGGACCTTCACATTGCCCTGGACAGTGCTGATCTCTCTGACTTTGTGGAGAACGTAGAGTGGCAGGTTCTGGGAATGCCTGCTAAGAAGAACGTTATTCTCTATGGCTGCTGCTCAGACCCCTACCCAGATATCACCTACACACTTCACCTGAAGAGAAGAGCTTCCTTTTATATCTTCAATCTGCTCATTCCCTGCATGATGATCTCCTTCTTGGCTCCACTGGGCTTCTACCTGCCAGCCGACTCTGGGGAGAAAGTGTCTTTAGGGGTCACAGTGTTACTAGCCCTTACCGTCTTCCAGCTTCTGGTCGCGGAGAGCATGCCTCCTTCAGAGAACGTGCCACTCATTGGTGAGATCCTGCAAAATAACTTTCACTTGTAAATGTTAGGGGTGCAGTGTTGGGGAAGTTACTTTTAAAAAGTAGTGTTTTCTCGTTACTCGTTACTTCTTAAAGTAATCTGTTACTTTACTTAGTTACCCCCTTTGGAAAGTAACTTTTTATGTTACTCGTTACTTTTACGTTACTTTTATGTTGCTTGACTTTGGGCAGAACCCAATATCTGTTCCTAAATGTGTAGGCCTACATAAAATTCTACCATGAACTCTACTTATTGAAAAACTAGAAAGAAAAAAAACTAAAAAAAGAGAGATTTTGAGATAGAAAAAAAATATATATTTATTTAAATAACATTTGAAAAACCTGTATAAACTGAACACCAAAGCACAATATTAACTATTGAGCGGTGGTGACGCGTTCATGAAAAATGTCACAAAGAACCGGCAAAAGAAATGATTATGAATATCAAATATAGCAAGGAGACATTTCAATTGTTTATTAATAAACAAGTGTTTTCTTTGTCAGTCAGTGTCGGCTGCAAAGATAAAGTTGACGATGCTGACTCGCGATCTTCACAGTAGTGAACGCGCCAGAGAGAAATGCACATTTCATATGGATTACATAAGCAGAGAGTCTGTTTTCTCTCGTTTTGAATAGTTTTGTTTTAAAGTACACATTTCAAGCTTTCTATATATTTCTCATATCTTTGAGGCAAGTAGCTTGCGCTAAGTTTCGGTTCATTTATGAGACGAGCTCAGTCCACGCGCCGGCACGGAGCTCCTGAGAAGTCCTGATTATATTGCCTGCTATATTTACTGCTTATTTATTAAAGACAATTGGTTGATGAAACATTGATTAAAATTAAGATACAATTAATACAAAACGAAATTCACTTTAAAGAAAGGCTTTCTACAAAAACAAACTTAATGAAGTGGTCAAAATCATGTCTGCCCACTCCATTTGTCTCCCGATTGCGCATCTTATGCTCTTACTCATGCTTTTCACTTTTCATATAATCAACATTGATGAAATTAAAAAATAAATTATTTTATTTAAACATAAATATGAAACTAAATCGTTTTCTTTAATGACTAGGCTACAACACGCAGGTCTATACAGAGAAATTTAATATCGGAGCGGGATTTGAGCGAACGCCGTCTTACTGTAAGCATGTGGGGGTAGAGGTACGATTTTCGAGCAATCATCGAATATTATTTTGCTTGATATGCCAATCCTTAATATTTGGTGTTTTAAATGCCTGTTTGAGGTCTCTGTGAAAGATTTAAAGCAGTCTTTTCCCAGATAGCAATGAGTCGGCGGACCACCGTCGGTTCTCCGGCGGCAGTAGAAGCGTCAGAATGGCGACATCGCAAACACGTTGGACGGCGCACCGCCGGCGGCAGCCGCTTTTTAAAAGCGGCAGCCGCCTTCCTACCGCCTTCGTTAAGCGGCCGGCCCGCGGGCCAACCGCCGTTCCGCCGCCTTTATATTGAAGGCCGTCCTTCCGCGGCCCGCCGGAGGCAAACGCTATTTTCGAGCGCTCTGCCGCCGCTTATTCTGGCTATATATATATTTTTTATTTATTTATTTATAGCATGCAGTTTGTCAAGAATAATGATTGCTCAAACCAGACAAATTTACAATTGGCATTTTTATTCTACATTTCAAAGTACAGTAACTGTCATTTAAACAAGATGTTTCAGATCACTGAAACATAACAGAAAAATAAATAAATCAATATACTAACATGCAGGTTTCCAATTCAATTTTGGTTAAACAGCCTTACAAGCAAATTACAACACTTACAATAAGTGTTCATATAAAAAGGACAGCTCTAGGGTAAAAAATTACCAGTAAACATTATGACAAGTAAAGAGGATATTTGATACCAAATAATGTGCAAGATACCAAATAAATAAAAGTATAACTACATTTACAAACCATTTCTAACAATATGATAAGTGGTAGTAATTTATAGTAAAGCTCTGGAGTAGAATAGGCCATTATAACCCCAATGCTGACCTGTGGCACAAGGATTTACAAGCTTTATTTGAAAAAGAAAAAAAGAAAGTAATTTCCACAGTGAGTGAGTGTAGTCTGACACTTCTGACTTCTTTAAGGGTCTTGATTCTACTGACTGCAAGATAAAGAAAGGATTCCAGTTGTCAGTGATTCTGGGGTGTCAGTAGTCAGTATAGTTTTAAGTGGTCGGCTGTGGGTCCCTCTCAGCTGTGCGGCGCCTTTTTCTGCCTTCACGGTCAGATGCTCCTTTCAGGTAACGCGTAACGTTAACCTGGACCGCCTCATCAGTGCATCCTGGGTTGCCGGGTCCTTCCGGATGGCTAATATAGAAAATACAGATCTGTCATTTAATTTGAATTGCATGAGGACAATAGGACATACACATCTACTTAAATCTAAAAAAAAATATCCAACTTACTTTGAACAATGGTCTTCAGGAACATGTCTCTAAAACATGCTTTATCCCCTACACCATAGGTCGGCAACCCGCGGCTCTAGAGCCGCATGCGGCTCTTGAGCGCCGCCCTAGTGGCTCCCTGGAGCTTTTTCAAAAATTTGAAAATGGAACAAATATTTTTTGTTTTAATATAATTTCTGTAGGAGGAAAAACATTACAAATATTCTTAAAGTTTGTCAACGTTGTAAAAATGTGTATAATAAATATTTAATTTCAACATTTCTGTCAACGAAGAATTTACTTCATAGACTGTGACACACGTGTCTGTCAGATCGGCGTGATGCCAGACCGGTGGCTGACAAACAAACAAACAAACCGGCGGGTGTGTCATGGGCCATGGATCCCAAGGGGGAAAAGAGAAAGAGCTGAGCACTCCCAACGCACTCTAGTGCGGCGCGGGACTAGATTTGATGGCCGAGTGCGAGCGCGGGCGCGTGCGGTAATGCACTCACTCTACTAAAACAAAATAGAAACGATTTACAGGCCAGAATTTCTATTCATAACGTATTTGCAGCGTTGAGCGATATAGCCAATCACAGACATATGTGTTGATTTCTTGAACGCAATGGCCAATCAGAAGCATTTAAGATAGACTCCCCTCACCGCTCAAAACTGACGTTTTTGTTCAGTGCTGAATTCTGTATGCTGGCAAATCCTTTAATTATAACGAACAAAGTGTGGATATTATGAAAGATTCATTGTGCAGTCAGCTTCATTGATAATAACAGAGATGTGTGAGATCGCGATGAACTGTCAGCTTTTTAGGAATTATTAAGAGAGCGCACTTTGCGCGCATTCAGTCATGGCAATGCACGCAGTAAACTGCTTGCTTTTATGTTAAATTAACAGTGGTTTGTGTTTTAATGTTTTAATAACAAATAATTTATCAGGAGGATGTATGGTGGCGACACGTAGGCTAACTTGAAAGTATTTGGAGGTACAGAAAAAAGTGTATTTGCGGGCGGGAGCGGGACAAAACATAAATGTTGCGGGCGCGAGGGAAAGAAAGTTGAGAACGTCAGTTATAACGACCCACGCATTAAAAAATGGTCGGGTTAAAATCGGGCTCGGGCTCATAATTACGTTAAATGTGTCGGGCCGGGCTTGATTTTTTGGGCCTGATCTAAGCTCTAAGTTGTAGCCTACTTATCATTTTGATACTAATAAAGCTAATATAACACTTACAGCATGTGTTGCCTTCATTATAAGGCTTATATAAAGCTTTTAATTTTTTGCGGCTCCAGACAGATTTTTTTTTTTTTTTGGGTCCAATATGGCTCTTTCAACATTTTGGGTTGCCGACCCCTGCCCTACACAAAGCTGAAAATCCAAAAAAGTGTTACAAATTACATTTCTCTGAAGCTTCTCATAAATAAATAAAAAATGTGAAAGGCTAAGGATTCAGACTGTAATATATGCAGTATACAATGTTAAATTTTACTTTATATCTAGGTCTACTACATGTACAGGTAGCCCCAGTGGGAATTAAACCTACAACCACAGGTGCTGTTTGCAAGTTGTACCTAATTGCTCAGTGCAAGCAAACGTCTTCAACATTGTTTGTTGAACTTGCTTCACCTGCTCTTGAAGTAAGATTTTACAATTCGTATTTTTATATGTAATATTGTAGTGTTTATTATAAATGATTTATCTGTGCACTTCATTATTCTTTTAAAATTCATGTAGCCTTATAATCTTTAATCAAATACGTTACCCTTCCCTCCCCCCTCGAAACGACTTCTCTTCTCTTCCGGTCATGTGCTATGGCGCGAGGGCGTGGCAACTCCCCTCAAACCGTGCTATGAGCAGAGATGGAGAACAGGAGCGCTAGAGTAAAACCCTGCCCTCCGTTCAATATACCGTTTCACTTTTAAATACGTCACAACACTGGAGAAAAGTCGTTTGTAACTTCCGGTTCATGCCGACTTCAAATAGAAGCAATAGTTTCCAAGACAAAAAAACTTCACAAATAACATCACTTACTTGTACTCAAACTCTTGGCTCTGTGAAGTGGAGTCTGGATTACTGGGGAGAAACCTGGTAGCGAGAAAGAGGAAACAGAAATTTGAAAATCTAACAAATGGTATAGTTTAGTGGCAGGATCACAAATCCAGCATAACAGCAATAGATTTTACATACCAGTTCAGCATTTTCCTGGTTTTCTGGAATCGATGCATCTTTCTAGAGTTTTTTTTCTTGAGACTTACAAGATTCTAGAGTAGGGAATAATGAATATAAGAGTCAGTTATCCACAATAAACAGAAAATAAATTACACAGATGAAATACAGGAAAATCAAATACACAAGTCAGACCCATTTACCTGCTCCCTTCATGAACTTAAAATGATGTTTCTCCCAGGTGCTGTGTGGAGGTGTGCAGAGGATGGCTAAATTGTTGCCTTCGTCTTTTTGCTGAGGTTAAATGGGGGCCAATGGCACATGCTCTCGCTGAGCCACTCTTGCGGAACCACTGCAAATGGCAGATCCTCCTCGTTGATAAACTGAACAATGTGAACCATCTAAAATAGAAGAA